CTCTTGCACTTCTCCACTTTTATGTTATTACTAAGGAATAGACGTTGCTTGCAGTAATCGCCAAAACTCCAATAGTCTGCATTGATTTTCTTACGATCTTCTTCAGAGAAGTGTACTGGACATTTGTGATGACAGCTGCAATCAGCGGGCTTCGGTAAACGTTCCTTAATTACTTTACCACTCTTTGTAACATAAGCCTTTCCTTGACTCCTGTCACTCTTTCTTTTGTTCTGCATCCAAAGCTGGCTCTTACGCTATTGAATACAACAAATCCATAATTGTAGGAGACATCTTCTTAAATTACCTTTTAATTAACTCACCTTTCTTTTTCGTGTTACTGTCAATTCTACATTTTCATCATTGCTTTCTTCCGCGATTTCGCAGAGCTCTTCATGTTGCTTTACCGAAGATTTTTCAATTTTCCCCTCGAGATTATCCTCCTCTTCATCCGTTTCTGGAATATAATTATCTGACGATCCTGCTGAAAACTCTTCTCCATCCTCTTCGTCATTTTCCGATATATATGAATCCACTGGTTCCAAAGATAATCCAACAGAGTTTGGTGCAAGTTTCACACATAGGGCTCCTGTTGATTCCGTCGCAAATTCTGTTGACAATTAATATACCTAAATATTCTTTCCTGCAATTTAAGATAGCAGATACTCACCAGAGCTTGACAAATCCATGATCAAATGAATGATTGGGAACGAATGAACGACTAAATGATTATGAACGAGCGAATTTCAACAACGAACTGAAATCCTAAATTGCACAAATTATTTCTATTGCATTTACATACATGATAAAACAACGTAAGCATTGCATAGGCTACTTTTGTTTTTTGTAATTTTAAAACACATGTTAATTGTTCTGAGAATATAACGGCCTATAAGATTCATACAAATGAACAAATTGAAAATATTTGTTGAACAACAACGTATATCATTATACGTCATTTTAGGTGTTTCTGTCATGACAAAATTGATTTTTTTCCTAAAAGTTAAAATAGAGTATGTGAGTGTACATTACTATTCTATTGAATAAACAGAAAATTTAGTTTATGTAAAAATAGCGTATATGCGTTTACATGATTTTTGAGGAAAATAATTTAATACAAATTTATACTATATTTTTTTGACTGACGTTTTGACCCACTTTGTGGAACTAGAATTTGACAAAATTTTGACCACATATAAAATCGACGATGGAGAATCCAAAAATTCAATAAAAAAATAATAGCCTATGAGCACATAGGCTATTGTTATACTAAGGGGACGATATCGTGTATATGTATAAACAGAGTATATTCAAAAATATACTTCTAAATATGTTATAATTACAATATATTTGTGAGTATATGTATTTATATTTAATATACGTATATCGTTAGTATACTTGCAGTGAGATTTCATTCCAAAATGTTATTGACCTAAATATTTAGCTGAAATGTTTGCTTGTAATTCAAATAAAGGGCACACATCTTTAGAAAATATTGATTGCTGACAACTGATTATGTGGATTGAAGAAAATGTATTTAGCAGGATCATAAAATGTAGGATGATAAAATGCAGTATTAGAAAAATGTAGGATTATAAATTTCGGTATTCAGAAAATTGCAGGATCATGAACTTCTTTATTAGAAAATTCCAATATTGCAAATTAAAGCGCCGTAAATTTGCTTAATGCTAAAACTACAGGATCGTAAATTGCTTGCTCTGAAAAACTGCAGGATCGTTAATTGCTTATTGTGAAAAAAATTGCACGATCGCCAATTGTAGACTCAGTTATTGTTTATTAAAAAAAAACTATTACCCAACATAATTTAGTAAAGATTTATATTTGAAATGAAAAATTTTATTCAGCTTTCAATATACAAACAAAACAAATTCTTTCGAAACATATTATAAACAAGTGTTAAAAGACACAGTATAAGTTCACCACACTAGTAAGTAATTAATATCTTTTGTTTCTCTCACATACCCAGCGTTGCCGAATTGAGGATTTCGTCGTAATTTTGACGTTTTTTAGCTCAATGACGTTTTGACGATTTTTCTCTCCGTAATGACGATTTTTTTTTAGTTTTTCACCTACATTACATATCGTCACCTGAAATGCAAAAAGACGTAGGCCCCTATTGCGAGTGTCGACTGACAGTAGAATAGAAATTTTTCGATCGAGTCGATCATCTTTTATTTTGCTATTGTGTAACTTGATCGATAAAAATTTTTACTATTGTGAATGGTTAACTGAATGTAAACAGCTGTTTGTTTGTTTACATTTGCTTCTCTAGTGTTTCATTTACATCATTTTTTAAATAATTGCTTTATAATAAAATTTAAAAAATGGATACAATTGAAATATGGTTTAGTGATGAGGAAGATGATGTGGAAGCTAATAGATTAGTAGAGTTGGCTAAAGCAAGGAGGGAATTGCGAGATTCGTCGGATCCCTTGGAGTTGGAAGATGAAGTGTATGTACATATGTGAATTTTGTTTGTGGGTTTTACAGGATTTGCGGGAAAAGCTGTTTTCCTCATTAATAAACTTTATGGAAGTTTAAGAAATACGGTACGGTTTAGCTATTTGTGCAATGATGTTGGGTATTTGTGTCCAAACGCGTGACCCGAGCTTAAAAACTTCAACATACAAGTGTATTGAAAGAATTAAGCTTTAATTTAAAATAAAGATTTCAAACTCCCGAGCACTAGTTAACAAACTATGCAGGTTTTTGTAAACTTTGATGCTGGTACTGCGCAAAAACCCTGTGGATGGCGTAGTTGGAGTTATATGCGCAAGAAATTTTGTATATCTTTCACAATAGAAGCGGAGCTTCTGCCCCTACTCTCCGAAAATTCCTTTGCCCATGTCCTCATTTTCCTGATCAGGTCGACCAACCGCGCAAGTTGCCTTTTGTTGCTTAAAACTTTTGATCTGTAATTCAGACACATACATACATATATTCCACAATTTTTTACAACTTCCAGTTCAATTGACTTACTTTTTATCCATTATGGTACCACTCTCTTATGTAAATTTTATAAACGCAAACTCCAACGACTAATAAAAAACAGCAATAGAAGGATGAGCGATTAAAAAGTATTCACAGTCGTTAATTGAGTGACTAAGCGACACTCACAATAGCATCGATAATCGATAGTCGCCTAATAGTCGTTTATTTACTGCCAGTCGACATACGCAATAATAAAAATTTCAAAATTTACTTTTTGATTTATATAATGGATTTAATCGAATTACAACTCCCCACATCATTTTATGAAAAAAAAATTAATATTAGTTTCAACTTTTTCCAATTCATTAACGATGTTGCTACGTCTTTTTGCATTTGAGGTGACGATATCGAGTCCAAACCGCCAAAATAACGTAAGCGACATTTTTTTCAAAATTTTATTTTTGATGCAGAAATGCATCTAGAAGCTTTAGGAATATTTCTGCATCAAAAAGACAATTTTGAAAAAAATGTCACTTACGTTATTTTGGAGGTTGGGGCTCGATATGTATGTATGTAAAATTTTTGGAACAAATGCACAATACCACCAAATCTCGAATTAAAAAAAAAAAAATAGGATCGATAGAGACCATTGAGGTGAACATAACGGTATATTTATTTTTTTTGGGAAACAACAACTACAACAATTATTAAAGGTCAAAGTTCAAATTAAGCATTATCTCAAATTAATATTTCTCGAAAACCTCTTCAAGGAATTGGACAATTTGATAGAGAATTTAATTCTCTTTAATTTGATATACATATTTATACATATACCTTTTTATAGTTTTCACGAAAATGGAATTAATATGGAAAAAAATTATACAGGGTTTTTGTGTATAAACTTCTTTTTGCGTAGGCGGCCTTCGGCCGCACTTATGGATTATAACCCTCACAAAGTAGAATTCTCTTTCTGTGTTGCGAAGAAAAGGCGCTGAACACATTTTGCAGAGAACACCTTTCTGCGTAGGCGGCCTTCGGGCGCACTTATGGATTATAACCCTCACAAAGTAGAATTCTCTTTCTGTGTTGCGAAGAAAAGGCGCTGAACACCTTTTGCAGAGAACACCTTTCTGCGTAGGCGGCCTTCGGCCGCACTTATGGATTATAACCCTCAAAAAGTAGAATTCTCTTTCTGTGTTGCGAAGAAAAGGCGCTGAACACCTTTTGCACAGAGAACACCTTTCTACGTAGGCGGCCTTCGGCCGCACTTATGGATTATAACCCTCACAAAGTAGAATTATCTTTCTGTGTTGCGAAGAAAAGGCACTGAAACCCCTTTAATAATTGTTGTAGTTGTTGTTTCCCAAAAAAAAAATACATCGTTACACTCACCTCAATGATCTCTATCGATCCCCATATGAATTTTTTTAATTTGAGAATTGTACGTATTCTACATTTATGCCAAATTTTTGTTAAAGGAAAACGTAGTCCAAAATACAACCATGCATTTATCTCGTTTTTTTCTGCAACCGTGCTTTTAGTTATATTAAATTTGTTCTAGAATTGTAACCAAATCGTTAATTTGCACTGTTGACACTGATTTGAAAGAGACAGAAAAATAGCAGAGGAAATTTGTTCATTTAAGATTATCTATCAGTTAATAAATGCTAATATTACACTTTAAAACTGGATCAAAATCTACAAAAATTCAAGCCAGTGGAGTTTAACAATTTAAAAGCAGTTATGTTTTAGAGTGTAATTTAATATTGTAGTTAACAATTTTTTTTGGCCAAAATTACGATTTTTTCAGGGTAAAATTACGATTTTTCATCAAAAGCCTTCGGCAACGCTGGACATACCGACGACAACACACTCTTCAGTTGTCACTCTGAACCTGCGCAGAGAGACACATTTTTTATATCGCGCATTGCGTGACCTTCTATGTATAATAATAATAATATTAATATACCCTCTAGTATTTAATAATATTAATATACCCTCTAGTATTTATGATGGTTTTCATTTTGTTTATAATGCTTTATATTTAACAGCAATAAAGATATCTTGGTCAAACATACTCTTATTCCTTTCAAAAACGTAACTAACGATGAATATGAAGCTGCTATGTCGAAAGTAAACGAAACTATGTCTATTAACCTAGAACTTGAAGAATGCAGCCTCTCAAAACAACTTGATAATGTAAGTATATTATATATGTATTTCCGGAACTTGTGACATTTTGCAAATACGACCTTTTTATGTTTGTAGGCTGCGGAAGGTACTGGCCTTGCCTTCATTGTAATCACACAGGCGATTGTTGAGTTACCTGGTGCACCATTTTGGGCGGTTCTATTTTTTACCATGTTGCTCTCACTTGGCTTGGGCTCTCAAATTGGCATACTGGAAGGGATGCTGTGTACCCTTTTTGACATTGATATTATAAAACGGGTTAAGAAACAGCATGTGACTGGAGTGGTGTGCCTCTTCTGTTTCACTATAGGTTTCATATTCTGTACAGGTGCTGGCGAATATTGGCTCAAGATGTTCGACTCATTTGCGGGAACCATCGGTTTGGTTGTGGTCGCGTTGATGGAGACTATTGCTGTTGTATACGTTTATGGGCACGAAAGGTAAGTGTAGCTGATATTCGATATTTACCGGTGAAAATATGTCGTACTATCCGGACGTCGTATAAACAGAACTGCTCTTTGCTGGTATTTTGTTATACCCGCACACTTGTGCACGGGGTATTATAATTTGTTCGCATAACGGTTGTTTGCAACAGCCTAAAGGAATCGAGATAGATATAGACAAATGTATACATAAATGATCAGAATGAAGAGAGTAAGGGTGGGTAACTCTGTAAATTTTGGTGTGCTGACTCAGTAACTCCAACTCACTTTAATGAGTCAGCACAGTGAGCTGGCACAAATGTGCTATCGCACAATTGGTATGTACATCGAAATTTTTGATGATGTTAGTAATCGAAGTCGATTTAGAAAAGATTATCTTTAGCTTCTGTTCGTAGCTGGCCGGCAAAATTTTAGAAAGCTGATTTCAACTGGTAAGTTCATTTGCAAAATAATTCCCCTTGGATGTATTAACTTCTAGCCCAGTTATGCATACTTAGCTTTGCTTGAGAGTTGTCATATAAGAATCTGTTAAATGGGCTATGCATGTAAGCGGTTACCTAACGCATAGCACTTCACATGTAGAATTCTGTTTGGTTTTGATTTTTACGTAAAAATGGCATAACTGTGCAAGTATGCATAACTGGGCTATTCGTCTTGCTTCTTGTTAAATTTGGTAGTCGTATATTCAATTGATGGTTAGTCTAGTGATGCCATCTATTATGGTACTTTTTGGAAGATCGTATTGTGGGAATGTGTCAGCTCATCAATTGAGTTACCACATCGAAACAGTTCTAAACAATGCAAGCCGCACCGAGCTATGCAAGTGTCAGCACATCAACTGAGTTACCATATCGACTCTGTAGCACACTGAGCTATAAATTGTCAGCACATAAACTGAGTTACTGAGTTAAAAGTTTTTTCAGAGGTGAGTCTGAGCGTGCGGCACAGTTCTAAGAGTCAGCACAGTAACTCAGCACAGTGCTGAGCTACTCACCTCTAGAAGAGAGAAGTCGATTAAGCCATGTCTGTCTGTCCGTACGTTCGTCCGTCCGTGTACACGACTACTCGAGCAAAAATTGAGATATTTTAACGAAATTTGTATAACGGTATTTTCGAAATATGCAAAAGCTATGATATTTCAGTAAATAATCGATCCAAATAGTTGAAAATTAGTATGTGAAGTAGAATTGTGGTACGAAATAATATTATGAAATTTTTGGAAAAGCGGCATGGCCCCGCCCACTTATGATGAAATACTGTATCTTAGTAGCCGCTTCACCAATCCTTACCAAACTCGGTACGAGCCTTGCTTAGGATCCAGCTAAGGAATTTGCTGAGCAAAAAATTGATTATCAGGTTGCCACCTTTCTAAAAATAATAAGATTTTCAAAGTTCATTGGACTAAAAAATGAGGTAACAAGTGAAAGAATATGGTCTCCGGATAAGCTTTTATTTTTTTAATGGGGCTGCCACCTATTTAAAAATTAATAACTTACATATAATACGTGAAGGCGCCCTTTCTTCAAAATAGTTTTCTTTTTTGTTAGGTCCTGTTTTCAAAAAAGCGTAAGGAGCTGATGCTTTTTTTGTTTGCATATGTGAGCATGTATGTACATAGGCTACATTTGTTGGGATTTCAGTGAGAGACAAAATTTATAAATCAGCTGAGCCTGCTTTGATGTTTATATTTAATTAAGTTCACGTACATATGTACACGTACTTTAGTATCTACATATGTATGTATGTACATACACTCACTATAATTGCTCTTAAGTGTTCAGTCAAAAATATTTGAAACACAAAATTCAAATAAAATACTCTTACTACGATGATTTTTACTACGTTTATAGTTAATTACGTCATAGTTAATTTTTTATTTGCAAATAACTAAATCAGGCAAATAAGTATTGATTAGTGGTACTATTTGCAAATAAGCGCAAGACGCCGTCATTCTTAGGTTTATTTTCTTTTTCGATGGTCGTGTTTTTGCCTTTTTATAATCAGGTAATATTAGAAAAGAATTTTTGACCGTCGAATAAACAGTGAGTTAGGTATTTGCAAATTATTTTTATTTGTGAAGTTTCTTCGCGTATTTCTTTCCTCTTCTCTCCCTCGCTAATTTGAATATATGTATGTACATATAAATATACCTAGTATAAAGGAAAGTCGAGATTTTCTGAACGCGGTAATCTCGAAAACTACTGAAAAATTGTTTATAAAATCGTTTTAGCAATTTTCTTGTTTTTAATTGCCCAAGTTTTATGCGTTTGTGCGTTTATTTTTATATTTAAATTTTTTATCCTAAACATTATTCGACATTTATAAAAGTATGATTTTACATTTTTTACCAATTTTATATGTGAGCTTAACTCTAACAATTTTGAAATTAATTTTTTTTTCATTCGAAATAGTTTTCCATTAAAGAACTTGCTTCGAACGGTTTTAATTTAAGCTCTTCCATACTTCCTTGCATGGCTTAACTATTTCGGTAAGCCGAATAAATCCTCACTTGTATCAGTTATTTCGTATGGGATTGGGACTGCGCATGGGTATAAACGAGCTCGTTGGAAAGTGTTTGATTTGGACATCACTTTCCTTGAAGTGGTTTTCACAAACGCGAGATGAATCACGTAGTACAACACCACAGCTTTCTTCCCACCGCTGCCGTCTTAATTCGCAACTAGGTGTTTTAAAACATCGCACTATTTTCGTGTCCTGACTTTTATTGCATACAGCGCACCGTTCAAACGTTTTGCTCCGTTTCATCTTGGTTTCCTTATATTAAATATTTAAGCAAAATCGAACGTATGTATTTACTTATTACCAAATTTAAATGTACTTACTTGCTTTTCTCGGCGGTTTATCTCTTAACAATTTCACGTTTATTAAGAAAATTTGTCACTTGAAAACTTTGTGTGTATTTTTTTTTTTAATTCAAATTTGAAAAAAAAACACATTCAAATGGGTTAACAATTCATTTCAATTTGGCATTATAGCCTGCTTCTTATGAGAGCAATGTCAAAATCAATCACACTTTGTTGAACACATTTTGAATGTATATTGTTATGTATTAATTCAGCGCGTGGCGAAGCCTCGCGCATCCGTGACCGGCTAGTATGCATATAAGTACGAAAGGAATGAACGTATAATATCCCTAAAAGAGTGCGTGTGTGTGTAATAGGGAATTTACATGATTCAACTTTCACAGGCGATTAGTTGAACCAAAAGTTGAACGAAAGTAGGCAGCCGACCAACTTCATTGTAAGCGATTAGTTGAAAGGCCGTTAACACCAGGCGATTGTTGCTTCCCTGCAGGGAAAGCTACTAGTTGTGAACTAGAATTCTACCAGTTTGCGTTACAGCCCAACTAGTTCACGTTCTATCCTTTTTCAATGTTAGCGACTGGTATTTTTAAAATTGCGATGTCCTACGAGATTAGGGATGTTCCGATACAAGTAAATACGAGTATGTACTCGATACTTTTGTTTCGATCCCAACTACTTTTTTTACTCGAATCGTTGTTTCGATACCTAATTGGTATCGAAAGAAAAGTAGTTGTATCGAATAGATTTGAGCAAGAGCCATATGGTCGGCCATATTTTTCTATGGAAGAAAATTTACTTTAAACAATGGCACCGCCAAAATCTAAAGTGTGGATATATTTTTACAAGAAGATCGAGCTATTTCGGCAGTCACACAGTGCTGTGTCTCCATATAAAAAGTGGGCAAAAATAGAATAATGGACGGATTTGAGTAAAAATTCGTTTCTTGGTGGATTAGAGTACGGAGATTTCAAAAATCAATTTTTTACCTAGCTCTTACATTTTTCATGGAAACTGAGATTGAAACTGCAAAATTTGATATTCAGAAGTAGTTCCAATACTGAGTAGTTATTTTATTATTTATACAGGGCGTTTTCCTAATAATATTAAACACTTCAAGGCTTCATTCTATGGCTTAATTCATGGCAAATAAGATTCCCTATATCTCTCTTACGCAAACCCTCTAGGAATGGCAGCTACTTTCATTTTGGTCCTTTTTGACTACAAAATGTTTTTTTTTTTAAATTGATTATATCTTTTGGTGTGGATGTCACACGCTTAAAAAATTTGATTCATTCAAGACGACATTAAATACTCAAAAGACAAATATAATTTTGTTTTCCTTTTTATTAGTTACTTCGCACGAACAAGAGTTGTTGCAAAATACTGAATCAAAAATTATTTGTTTTATCTAACGCCGTTTATTGTTGGATGACAAATCAATTAACCTGGAAAAAATATTTATTTTTTAATAACTTATATGGCTTGTCGAAAAGATATAAGACCGTCATATCGCAAAATAGGTAATCGAGTAAATTAATTAATTCAGACCAGCCTTTTGCAAAATAATACTGTAAAAAGTGGTCAATGTAAATTAAAATGCCATTTACTGATCTAAACTCGAATTTATTTTTAAAGGCTACTGAATGTTTTTGGAAGACATATTAGATAATTTTTTGTTACCTCAGAGGGACTAGCGCAATGATGAACATAAACTCATCCGTTAATTTGTCGTCACCAAAATTTTGCTTATAGCGGCTATGCCCCGAACTTCCATCCATGCCCCACTTACAAACCAAAGAAGCTTTGGTTATGTCACCATTATCTGGGCTTAGTTCTAAAATACTTTGCGTTGTTTTCAGCAATAATGATTTCAGATCAACTTCGGCTGAATATTCAGTCGATTTAATCGTTGGCAGCAAAGTTTGTTTTTTTGTTTGCAATGCGTTTAAGCTCGGTATACAATCTTTATGCAACCGGTTTATTTTTGCACGTAAACTATTATATTTACGATCTGATGAGTTCAGATCTATGTATAGTGCGAGTGAATCAGATATGGGCAAACCTTCGGTACTACTTTCAGAACATTCAACTTTGCTTGCTTTTTTCATATTTTTCTGAGCATACTCGAGCTCTTCGATGGAATAGTTTTTCAACAAATGCTCTACCCTTCGA